TAGGAGAAGTATCATAAAATCAGCAGCAAAGGTCTTGGACCTACTGAATGAAACCATCTCCATTTAAGCTCAACAGAAAATATTCAGAGCTTGCACCAATCAGTAAAGACAGAAAGGTTTTGCAGCTTCCACAACCAGCCTTTCTATATCTGAATGTATATACACATAAACACACATATACACATGCACATACATATATGTATCATTTCAGTCTTTTCAGAAACAAGTTTCATATATACATATGTGTCTTCATGTATGTTTTTTTAAGAAGCTAATCAGATGATAAATAATACAGTCTGTGCTATTTATTTTAAGCTGCCCTCGTGTCTTATTTTGTCAGTATGTAGCAGAATGTTCTATTCAAAACAGATTACAGAAGGTCCTAAAAATAGGAACTGATAGACTTTGGATGCTTAGAAGAGAACTGGAGGAGAAATAAGATGGTGAGAAAAATGCATTAGCTGTATATGTTTGTGAAATGGATCATTCACACATAAATCAGTTAAAAACATTTGATACCCAGGCTTCACAGATAACACAAATTGTTTTAATAAGGCAATTTTTTTCCTTCTATAAGCTGATCTATTCAGAAAATATTACTGGGTCAGTTATACTCAATTCATGGTTTAAAACCACTTTCCTCCTATGTTGTTCTACTCCGGGAGCTTGCTACATATTTATTCAGTTGAAAAATAATTAAAGCTATTTTGTGAAAGGTTTTACAAGTAAGACAGTATGAAATATGAAAACCGAAAAGGTATGGGGCTTTATAAACAAAAAAAACTACTTGAATGATTCTCCCATTCAGTTTCTAATCAACTAATGGTGTGAAGATAAGTATTTTAATAGGTCTACAATTTTTAAATTGCCCCTAAAGTTTCACAGTATGATGAAAAATTAAATAGAACATGGAAGAAAAATTATTTTATGTTTTTGCATCTGAACCCAGATTAGAATTGTAAACCAGTAAAGTCTTAAAATTCTTTAAAGTCCTCAGATAATATTCTGTTAACTCAAATTCATTTTAAATTTGGAGAAAAACAAGGTTCCACCAGATTGTACATCAGGACAAATACTCTTGAAAATATTTTTGCCTGGGACTTTTTTCAGATAAGTCTCTGGACAGGGATCTATAATCTTATGATAAGTAATCCTGAAGTTTCAGGTTAAGACAATGTTATGCAATGTCTCTACTGTTGCTTTTTAAATTTCTGATTAAGGATTTTAACCCCCCCCAATAAACAACTGAGATTTTAAATTCAGTTTTCACCTGATCATCCCTAATAAGTGAATCAGAAACTATAAACCAAAGATACAGTATTTCCCGAGCACAAATAACACAGTCACAGTTGAAATCCAAAAGGAAAAAAAAAAAGAAGTCAAACTTTACTAGAGTTTAATGAGGTAAGGTACTAGCATCACGGTGGGGAGGCAAGTAAACTGGGTGCTTACTCCAACACATGTCACATTGAGGTCTGGCAATTTATGAAAGATGAATATTTAAATGTATAAATGATAGGTATAATGCTGTATTTAGATCTTTGAATTATCTAAACAATTTCAAAGCATTCAAGCTATGTAAAATTAATTACTACAATATTGTATTAAAACTATTTTTTCAAATCAGAAAAGTATGCAAAGTGCAGTTTTTAAATAACATCTTTAAGGAATAGAGAAAATAACAAGAAAAGGGGGTCTGATGCTGCTGCTGTCTTTCATATGATCTCATAATGATTTCAGCTGGAATACTGGGTGACTAGAGTTATAGATTAGTTGTAATCTATAACTGGTTAGAAAAGAAAATGAATGAGCAGACAAGGATACTAAAAATTATCGATAATAACCAACTTTTTAATTGCAAATGCGTAAGAAATTCTCATCAAATGGAGAAAGGTAAAGATCACCAGAAAGAATAATAGTGTGTAGTGAAAAAAATCACAAAACAGATCTGACTCTTCCTGCATAATGGCCAATGCAAACTACTTATTATCATTGCATATGGGAGAGATTATATTACAGCACCTCTCATCATTTAAAGTTTTCAGCAGTGAATACACAGACAAAGTCACAGAAGACTGATTAAAATCCAAACACAAATCCTGCTGGCATATTTACTAGCATTAAACATATGTAGTACAACCTGATGTCTCTAAAGTCTGTTAATATTACATATTCAGAACCATTTGTCAAGTATGCTCAATAGCACTATTCTTCCTCTGATACTGAGCATTGTCACTGATAATCTGATACAACTGAATTTTAATTGTGTCCCCTCAAAAATGAGCTCTAGCAAAAGCAGAAAAAGAAAACAGCACAGGACAAAAAAAACCCCAGAGTCTTAGAAAAAATTCTCCTATGGAAGATGACAATGGACTTCCCATTTACCAGATAAACACAACACTATCTCAGCCAGCAATCACATTACATCTTCTTGATTTACTTCCCTTGTCAAGTGAGATCTTTAAATGGAAATGCAAAACCTGTGCCAAGTCCCAAGTGGAAAGTGTGAGAGCTGTTCAATTTATTAAGGGTGGTGGGTATTTAAGAAATGCCAGCTAAAGTACTATCAGAATGGAGTATGCAAGACTCCAATCACCTCCACAGAACTTTATGATATTTTTTTCTGCCATTCACGGTTTCCACCAGCTAACAGTCCTATTATATTACATGAATTCAACAGAAGAATCTAGTTACTGTCTCAGAGGTCAGCTTCCACTTTTGTCTCTTGTAAAAACTCAGACTTGACATTTTGCTTAGAGAGAGCTATCTTCAACAGCAACTGGGGAAAAGTAAACAAGAAAGTTCCTGCTGGTGTGAAGCAGTAGTAAGTTTCAACCCTCTCCAAACGTTCTGGCTCTGCCAAAGAGCATCCATACAAACTCAGTGGGATGAAACTAACTTAATAAGATGGATGGAGGCCAAATAAATATCTGAAGCCATTAGAGAGGACATAAAGATGCCTTTGGGAAACAGGAAGGGTTTGATATTACAAAGATATTAAAAAGCCATACTACGATTGAAGGGCCTAGTTTTAGAAGGAAGACCAACCTGCTCAGGACATCATTTGAGCTGCTGCCACAGCTATCTGGGAAAGACTCAAGAGTTATAATATGCACAGTCTTTTGCAGGCAGATATGAGCTTATTTTGCACGAGCTGACCAGAAGCCATTCTGCTATGACAGCATACCATCAAGCACTTGGTAGTAAGCCTTGCTGCAAAGCAGTGTGTATTAGATTAGGCAACGTACCATTCTCATGTGGCCCCAAGTCCTCAGGCTGACTCAGAATGCAGGCTACAGTAAGCTCACATCAGTTTGCAAATGGGCGTGCACATACACTCACAAGAAAAAAAAAAAAAAGAAAGAAGAAAGATTTCAAGACCAATGTGCAAATGAATCCATCAACCATGAGGTAGGAAGAACTGAGATTTGCAAGATCAGGGATGAGAATCAGTCCCTGAGAAGCAGTTGGGAATAATTAACAGGAAGATGGAGCTTACAGTGTGGGGAGATCAACATCAGACACAGTCAGAGAAGGGGTGCTGTGAAGCCCCAAATTTATAACAGATGCTTCTTTTCAGAGGCAGCTCTTTAACTGAGATATGTTAAACATTGGAAAGGTGAGACGTATAATGTGGCACAGGTATTTATGAAATAACTTCTGTCACAGCGATTTGAACAACTTTTTTTCCTATGATTTGAATGCAATACTCATTTCAAAGTCAATACAACTCAGATACCAATACCTGGCTTCAGTCATATACCCCAAGATAGCTGGTATTCACATAATCACATATGCGTTGTCCAATGCAAGCATATTTGCAGCATATAAGTTATTACCTTCTATCTTTCATTCTATTCTGATTACATATAAACCACCGATAATATTTATTACTTTTTCCCTTAAACTTTTCAAATACTACTTTGGAAAGGGAGAAATTTTGTTTGATGAAAGGCTACAAAGACAAAAATGTGCTTGCTACAGATATGTAAAAGATACTATTCTACTTTGCCTCCTATCAGTTTATTTTTTTTTAATTTAACTGTTCAGCTTTGGCTGCAGAATACAACATAGATTGTATTACTGATACATACTATTCCCTGTGTAATTTCCTGTGATGTATGTAAAAATATTAACTAATCAATTTATGTGTCTCTGAGATTGATTACAGATTATTTTCTCCAATATACCTGGAGAAAAAAATTGATGCTTGAAAGAACTTGGCTAATATCATAAAATATTTCTAGAAAATTATATGCATTGGAATTCAGAAGTTGCTATGACTCAATACTTTAATAAGATTTTGTCAAAACCAAAACTCTTTTTACTCATCGTATTTTCATTTTCATGTTTACAGGACTTTTAGGAATGGACAGATCAAATTGCACATATTTATATAAATGCACCTTGGCACTGCATATACACATTTGGCATACAATTATAAACATAAATAATTATCATACTTGTTAAAGATCTATTTAAGTCTTCCAGTTGGACAATGTTAAACTGGTTGGTCTTTTATTGAAATTAATTTCTCTTCTTCACAGAGTAGAAAAAAATCTACTTCATATATTTATCATAACCACAGCAATGGCATCTGGAACTTTAAGACTTTACTTTTTGTGAGCATCTTCATTACTTTTTGTGCTGATTAAATTGGGTATAATAGTGAGAACATACCTGACTTCACTTAAGCAATTGGGGAAACAGGACAAATCTAAAGGAAGAAAATGTTTGTAATATACAAGCTTGGATGGAATCAGCTAAGAAAAGAAAAATAGAAAATCCCCAGCAGCCTTCCTAGAGATTGTTTTTGAATGATCTGCATCTTTTTTTTTTTTTAATTTTTAATCTTTTTTAATTCTAACTTTAAGTTTACATCACTGAAAATCATCAACTTTGCTGACATACACACCAATCACTTACTTTACAGATGCTTAAGAACAAGAAATATCACTTCAAACCAAAGCAAGGTAAAGCAGATGTTTTGCAGTACTCACCTTAGGCACCCTGTGGCATTGCGCAGCACCTGTGATGAATGGAGCTGTATTTTATGATCATCCTGGAGTGGAGAGTTTTCCCATCCAGAGTGAGGGATGATCACTGCATTGGTCAACACTGCGAGGGCATCTTGGATGATTGGCATTTTCAGTGCATCACAGGAGGACAGATTCCAGAGAACTCCTACAAAGAAATAAAAATACTAATAATTAACATTAAAAAAAAAAAAGTTTAAATAGTTTTTGTATTAAAAAACCCAAACCAAAACAATATATTTCACAGCATTGGTGTGCTTAATTAGGCTGTTTCTGTCAAGAATAAACCAGACTACATGTAAACAGGTTGACTGATACATGCACACTTTTGCAGTGGGAATACAGCTTTGAATACCCAACATGTAGTCAGAGCAACACTGGAAATTTCTCAGAGCTAAGCCTAAAAACTGAGCAGCTGGTAATGATCTAGGCCTACGCAGGTTGTGAAGCACACATGAAATAAGGAGTATCACAAAGAACTTTTTAGGGCTTGGTCTTCAGATATCTTCTTTCTAAGTAAAATTAATAAAAACAAATAGTAGAAAACAGGTTCTGATTTATACTAAAATTTTCACTGTTGATAAATACACACTGAGAGAACTAAACCTCCACCCTGTGATCTTCAATGTAATGCAAGTAACTGTCTAGGTTAGTTGGTACTACAAGCAAAAAGACTTCCCCCACACCCTGATACAGCAGTATGGTATTATCCAAGCCTTCAAAAAGTAACTTTTTTATTTTTTAAATATTTTACTACACAAATGTACAGACAACTATTGGTTTTATACAGAGACAAGCTTAATGGTGCAACTCACAAGGATATTTATAAAAGTTTAAAAAAAACAAACCCCCTTCTCCTTCAATTCATAATGTGTCAAAGAAAAGGAAGAGAAATCAAGAGCCAAAGCATGATTTCTGCAAAGATCAAGGTCACTGCAGATGTGTATTACAGAAAGCAGGCAAAAAATTGTTGGGAGCAAAAGACACCCTGCTTTCCACTACTATGTATATATTTGTGTATTTGCTGAGAAAGCACATTTGATTTTTGTGCTGTGCCAAGAGCCTGCTGCTGCAGGGCAGCTACTAGTGCTTGGGGAAGCTGGAGGGCAATATGTGGTTCTGAAGAACCAATGGTCTTTATTTTAGGCCGGTATCCTTGTAGGAGCAGCTGGAAGAGCAAGCCTGCCTTTTCATCACCCTCCCCTGGTCAACACCTGTCCTCTTCTCTAGAAACCAAACTTAGTCCTCCCTAGTCTCCTTCCAAAATGACAGTACCTTGGCCCCATACCTGACCTTGAGTGGCAAAAATGAGTTTTGACTTTATGTCTATCAAGTGTTCAACCAAAGGAGAAAAATCATTATCATCATCATTGTATATAGGTTGTTACAAGTATGAACATTACAAGAAAGTGCAAGTGAGTGGTAGGGAGTGGAAAATGTTTAAGGAAGACCTTAGGAACATGGAGTCAGACATTTATAAATATAAGCAGCAAGAACACCACTTGCTCAAGGCTTTCTTTAGCATTCTGTGGTTTGACAGAGCAGTGTAATTAACAGGAATCAACCTACGTTTTTGGGTTTCCCTTTAAAATTAACTGCAGTTATACAATTTCATGTTTAAATTATTTTATATGGAACTGTCTGCAAAGATGACTGATTATGCAGTTTAATGGAAAAAAAATTGATCAGCATTCTAATAAAACAACCACATTAAAATAATCCACATAAGGCAGAGAGACTTTACCTATAGACCAGAAAAAAAAAGCAGAAATAAGAATACTGTTCTTATTTTCATTTAAGAATTGCTAATTTTTAAAGAAAAGAGCCTTTGTTTAAATTTTGTTCTGAATGTCTTTTTGAAAAGGAATTCCACATTTAAAGGACCTTCATAAACACATTTATACTCATTTTTCATGACCTGTTCTTGTCAAGCATTATTGGTACATCTTCTATTATTGAAATACCTAGCTTTTTGCTGGTTTTAGTTAGTAAAAACAACAATGTGGTTGCTTTTTTTTTTTTTTTCTACATTTATCTAGACAGACATAAATGATATGCATGGTATAAAAGCAAAGATTCAGAATGCAAATCTTTCCCCTTTTTGGGTTTAACTTAGTTCTTATGCAAGACAAGGTGCTGCACCTTTGTGAAGAAGTCCTGTTTTGAAAGTGAAGCAGCAGAGTGCTTTGATGGCAAAAAACCCAGTATTTTGGGCTTCAAGAGCTAGTCATGAACTCGAAAAGCAGAAAAGAATATAAAAGAAGTGAACACAAGAGACCTGTCTAGGAAAATGCTTAAAAATGTGTATGTCTACAGTATTTTCTATTCACTTCAAGTTCTTGCTAATTAAAAGCAAACTCACATAAACACCATGGTAAGTTGGTACTGAGGAACAGTGGAGATGCCCAGAAATATTATCTAAGCCCTCCTTCTCTCTGGTTTCACAAACCGGAAATTAAACCTTTGGAGTAAGAGTCTAATAGGATCACCAGACTAAAACAGCTATAATTCTACCTTCTCCTAAAATGTTTTGAAGTCAAGGCAGAATCAAGCAAAATGGCACTGCCCAGTAAGCCTGGTGCCAGCTTCAAAATTTTTGCTCCTCACAGTTTTAAGGTGTGAGATAATCTTCTTCCACCCCAGAACAACGAGTTTTATCTAATTTTTAAGACCGAATACTACCGACCACATGAATGAAAAAAGCCACCAATTTTCTTCTGAGAAGTTAAAATTTATTCTTACAAGCAGTAAGTCTGCTACTTGCTGAGGTTGGCATTCTACAAGCCTCATTGTTACCTTCCTTAATTAAGGATTTGCAGTTATGAAAGGGCACTGGCAATTCACTTCCCATTGTTTGGGATGAGGATGACCTGGAGCTAGATTTATGTGGGGTCTGAGATGATGACTTTGCAGGAGAGAGTGACAATAAAATAAATCTTTTACCCAAGGCACTTTGCATTATGAAACTACTTGTTCACCACATGACTATGAACACATTTTTCAAGAATGCACATATGACATACACTTTAAGACTACAGTAAAAAGCTGGTTACTGAGACATTTGACACCTTACTCTGAAAGCCCTGACTGAACTGGGTTTCTGAACACAACAAGCAAATCTGCCAACAGCCTCAGAGGTGTGTTGACTGCCCTCTAAAGAATCTACATGTCATCAGACGCTCCCAGGAAGGGAAGGAACTGGACTCACCAGTGACTCTTGATAAAAGGTGGGACTCAGCCTGCTGTATATGTATGGGAAGAGAGCTATTAACCCAGCAACTCACTAGTCCAACTCAACAGTTTAGCATTTGCAGACTGACTCTCGTAAGAGATACGAAATAAAGAATAAATCAGAGTTGAACATCTCTTACTTAATCACTTGCATTCATAGTATATTATCTCCTTCTCTCTTTTAAAGCTGTGAGGCATTCAGAGTAGGCATTTTGTGTCCCCATTTGCAGATCACTTTAGATTGTATTGGATGCTTTGCAGAAAGAGAAAAACAGCTACACCAGATTGAACATATCTCTATTCACAGGTTAAAGTTTTTCACCCTTACATATAACAACTTGAAATACAGTGAAAAAGCATCTTGCAATCCCATTTTAAGCTTAAAACTGAGGAGAAACTGGTATTGAAAGTATTCAGTTGGTTCCAGTTGGAAGATGGATTTTGGATCGGAGTATCAATTACCAGTCTAGCAAATACCAGATGAAGGACTTTTTTAGAGGAGTGTACAGGAACGCTTGCTGTCGAGATCTTACTGCATCAAGTTACATCTTCTGGAGTAGCTTATCAGAGGATATGTGTCTGCTATGGTCAACAGGTTATTTATCACATTAAATGTAAATCACCTTTTTTAAGAAGGTCTTTCACAGACAACAACAATCAAATTCAAAAAGTGGTTATAAATTTGGAAGAAATTTGAAGACAATTTGTAATTGTCCTTCTAAAAGACATAACTGCACAGTTATAGTTCATAAAGAAAACTGCACATAGATTCTAAAATCTATTAAGGCAATTTAGGTTTGTTGCCACTGGAAGAGGGAACTGAGAGAACAGAGAACCACAGAAGTTTTTATTTAACTTTCTCTTAGACAAACTCCAGAAAATTGAAAATAGGACAAACCCTTTTAAAAGCACAGTCCAGACTGATGAGATGTTACTACTACTAAACAGACAAAGCCATACTTTCAGCTTAGAAACAGCAGTCCTTCATACATAAATTACTTTAAGCTATCACAATAGATACCACATCACTTACCCTAAAGAATCAGAGCAAAATATTTATAAATTTAATAGAGCAGTCTCAGTCAAAATGTCATAATGTCTGAATCATGCTGTAGCTAAAACTCATCCTGATTAAACACTTCAATGCATTTTTTCCAGTGCTTTAGTCAAACTGGTACTCACATATGTATATCTACAGCCAGATATAACTGAAGACCTGATAACCACATGCTATCCTTATTCCATTCAAAGTTGAAAAAGCAGAGATCATAGACTTCTATGCAATGAATATTATCCTAGTAAGGGAGCACATGCAAAATCAGGGAAGTCTAACCAATTATTTAGTGCATGATTTAATGCTAACTCAAATCATGACTTTTATATGTATAAACAAACCTCCAAGAACAACTTAGACTACAAATATAAATGGAAATCAAGAAACTAGACAAGTCATCTTTTCCAAAAAGCATTACCCCTACCACACTGCCACTATACATATATTTTACTGTGCTGCAAAAGATGAACTTGCCAAAATAAATGATATGATAAAGAGATTGTAAGTAAATGAATATTATAAGGAGAAACAAGACTTTGATTCTTCTCAATAAGGGATGTTTAAGTCAACCTGAAATTTATATTATGGTTTTGCTTATTTAATATTCTTTGTAAATATAAAAATCCAGGGTCTTTCAACACATCCAGGTTTTTCTTTTCCATCATAATTCAATGGTTCGGTCATGGACTGATGCAGAAAACCATTTGAGACTGCTGGGAGGTTGCATCCCAGGAAGAGTGAACAGAGCATTGGCAGGCTTTTTTGTTTATATGCTGAAGGCACAGGGATACTACAGGGAGTCTCCCTCATGAACATGACAATTAAGATTGAAATCTAAGTGCTAAATACTCTGCACAGAAGCC